TGTTAACTTCTTTCACATTAGTGTCTGTTTGCATTTGTGTTGAAGGATCCAGTTTTCCCCCATCTGGATCGACATCCTGTTGTGTCTTGAGATGGCTTTCAGCAGGTAACGTTAAATAACCAAATTCAGTGTGGTTAATCGTCTGATTATTGGATGATTTAGACACTGGAGTCACTCTGACAACATCTGACTGAATTTGTGGTGTGGTTTTATTTGGTTCCTCTACATTTCCACCATTAGGTGGAGAAGTAGATTTACCGGTGTTTACATCTGGCATCTGTTAAGAATAATACAACTGAATAAAGACTTATCACATAGTAAAGCAATATTATATTGTGTACATTTATAGATTCATTGATTATACAAGGGTTAACGTTAATAAATCAAAGCAGGCCAACCTTTTAAGCATCGGATCACAGATTAATTACTAAGTCATAACATAATAATGTAGCTAACGTTATACGTTTATATCTGTCTGCTTTACAACCATCTTTTAGTATTTAAAACAACACAGAAGCAGTTTCAATGAAATCGACACAATTGCGCTGAAAAGCTTTAACGTTACCTGAAGTGCGGAAAAACTTGTAAGCACAAAGGTTAATTAAACGTTTTGTTTATCGACGTATCTGATAGTTCTGTAGAGGGAAGCCAGCCGCCTAGAGACACTCAACACTACAAAGGGGAAATGAAAAGGTTTCAAAATAAAAGTCACTTAAAAATAAAATAAAAACATTTAAATGTAACGTACGTTACACATGTATGTAGACATATATTGTACCTTTAAAAAGTCTGTTGTTATATTATTTTTAATCTTATCCCACGTGTATGTGATATAAATAATTTAATATGGCCTATGTTGTAATTATTATATTGTTTCATTGTGGTAGGATTGGTCGGATATTGTGACTGTCAACAAGACAAATTTCCCTCAAGTGAAGTGAGCTCCTCCAGTTTAACCACAAAATGTGTCAGTCACCACTTCCTCTTCAGTGGAGAAATGTGAAGTTCGAGTCTACACAGCAAGCACTTTTTGCAGCCTAACTTATTTATTTAATTATTGCCAAAACCATAATTTGTTTTGAAGTATACACATAAGGAAGTAGAATCTTCAGATCCTCCTGTAGTAGAGACTGCTGGTAAACCGCTGGAACTAAACCAAAACTGCATTTTGAGCAGAGGTGGAAAAAGTACACAACTTCCTTACTTGAGTGAAAGTAGGCTATACTACTGGTCAAATATTACTTTTTAAGTCTCTTTAAGTTGTAAAGACAGATTTTTACTTAAATAAAAGTACAGATGTACTCGTTTTTAAAAGTATCAGATGTAAAAGTCAATACATTGTTGTTGTTGTTTTTTTTGTTTTTGTTTTTTGTTGTTGTTACTTACAGTAGCCTACCGTATGCATCTGAATCTAGGTCTGCGTACCTACCCACATAAAAATATAAAATTTATTTCTGGAACACAGTTCAAGTATTGGGATTGAATGTGAGATTGTATAAGTCTACTCAATAACGTCCACAATGGTTTCGGACACCCAAATGGCTGTTCACTTTAAAAAGTGCCCTTTTTAAAGTTTTTTTTGTGTTTTTAGCATGAATATGTTAGCCTTACTGTTATAAGCAGTTGTGCTCCAAAAACAAAAACAACTTTTTTACCCAAGGACCTTGAGAGAAATGTAGTGGAGTAAAAACTACAAGATTTGTCTTTCAAATTTAGTGAAGTTAAAGTGACAAAATGACAAAATTCACATTTAAAAGACCAAACCAAACATTGAAAATGAAAATCAGGTTGATGTCAGAATCTCCAACATTGGACAGACGTTGTATTGTGGTTGAAAATGAATAATCGTGTTGACATCAGAAACCAACATAGTCGGGTTCTGATGTCAGTCCGACGTCGGATTCTGCTGCCAATCCGACTTTCATTTCCAACCAAAATCCTCCCCTGACTGACGTTACAACTTTTTTAGGACCTTGAGAGAAATGTAGTGGAGTAAAAATAGATTTGTCTTTCAAATTTAGTGAAGTTAAAGTGAAAAGTTTCCAGGATAATACTCAAGTAAAGTACAGATACTCAAAAAGTGTACTTAAGTACATAGGCTACTCAAGTAAATGTACTTTGTTACTGTCCACCTCTGATTTTGAATAAGTTGAGTCATTTCTTAAAGTCAATCATTTTATCCCCTATAACTCATCTTTGATCACCAAAATTACATTAAAGTGTTTCCTTGAAAATAAATTTCTTCATGCCATAAAATAGCTTGAATGTAACACACTGCCTCATTTAGTACGGTTCTATGAAAATGCAAACTATCCCCGTCTACTCACTCACACCAGCTCAGAGAACCACTCCCTGATCACACGTTGATGTAGGAAAATAGGGATCGCTTGAGAGAGCCTATCTACTTCGAGTGAACTAAACGAGCCAATGCAGATTGGCATGTGGTCGCATCCTAGTTTGTCCGCTGAGGAGCTGGACCTGTGAATCAGCCGTACAGCGAAACAGCAATTAGGGGGAATGAGGGTTACCATACGTAACCGTGACTTTACCCTTTGTCAGTCACTAACAGTCTAGACTGACGAATGGGGATATCTACCTTCCAGCTCTCTGCTTGAAACTCCCGGCCTGACCGCAGTGTTGGGCAGAAGTAGGGTCTCTTAAGCAGAGAAGATCAGTCATTGCTGTTCCACAAGACCCAGTCAGTGTGACTTATTGGATAATGCGTGTCCTTGGGGAAGGGAACGCTGCGGGAGCCACGTCCTATACCCCGGAGGGGGAACTGTGATGGATACACATATGGACTCGCCAAGCAAGGTAGTACGATATATGGTAGTCTCTGGGGTGGTTCCAGCCTAATTATTGGGGGGAAAGAACACCAGCAGAGATGACAGAGCAGGCTCTTCCAAGGGAACCCGACACTAAGTACGGGTCCCTCGCGCTAATGGCCACTGGGGTCTAGTATACGGGAAGATACTGGCTCTATAGAATCTAGCAAACGTGTTAGGTGTCGTCCAGCCCGCAACTATACATACCTTGAACCACCACCTAGGAAGAAGCAACAGTTCGAGTTGAGTGTGCTGCAACCCGAATGGGCAAGGCACGCCTTGGACTTCGCAAGCCAAGGAGAAGGCATCGACTATCCAGTGGGCCATCCTCTGCTTGGAGACAGTCTTTCCCTTCTGCTGGCCTCCGTAACAGACGGAACTTTATCTGAGGTCCTGAAGCTTTGCGTTCTGTCCACGTAAAACCCCAGAGAGCGGACGGGACAGAGGGTCTGCTTCCTCCAAAGGCAGCGCTTGCAGGTTCACTACCTGGTCCCTGAAGGGAGTGGTAGCAACCTTGAGCACATATCCAAGCCGGGCTCTCAGGACAACGTGAGAGTTGGCCGGCCAGAATTCTAGGCACAATTCGTAGACCGAAAATGCTTCCTGGTCTTCTACCCTCTTGATGGAAGCCAGAGCAGTCAGGAGCACTGTCTTTAGTGACAGGATCTTTAGCTCAGCTGACTGCAAAGGTTCAAGTCAAGCCAAGTCAATGTATTGCGATCATTGAGAAGCAAGAGAAATGAGGCCCGATGTCCAAAATTAACACGTCCCCTTTAACACAATTTTCACGATTTCAATTCAATTCTTTGATTTCAATCTTGATTCAAAATTTACTCATTTGGATAAATGTAGGTTACAGTAGATAGCCAGCATGAATGAGCGCCATTTCAGCGTGCCTATAGCCCAAGCACATGATACAGCGATACTCGATAATCACCGTGTATAAATCTTGCAGGAGACAGGACCAGCAGTCTGGCTTCGAAACGATTCCGGCTGCTCATTATATATGCTCGTGCCGCGATGCACAGCAGCTGGTACGATTATCGCAATCCAATTTGCATACAATAATAATAATAATAATTCATTACATTTATATAGTGCTTTTCTCAGCACTCAAAGCGCTTTACATAGAGGGGGGAATCTCCTCAACCACCACCAGTGTTCAGCATCCACCTGGATGATGCGACGGCAGCCATAGTGCGCCAGAACGCTCACCACACACCAGCTTACTGGTGGAGAGGAGACATACGGCTCGTTTAAAGGGTGTGGGATTTGCAAAACGGCCGGCAGATTTTGAAAATACACAACTCGAAAGGTCTTACCTTCTTTCCTCCAATGCTGGCCCAGATTCCACCCATTCGAAGAACATGGACGCCAAATCATGCATCTGCAAAACTCAGATGCGCGAGATTGCACTGACAATCTCTCTCTGCACCAATCTCACTCTCTCTGCAATGATATCACTCTCTGGGTCACGAGCTTTGAGTATGTGCACAAAGGGGACACGTGCGCAAAGCGGATGGGGGGAGGGGAGTGATGGTTCGACCGTTTGATTGACGTACAGTCCAGTGATTCTAGGTGGTCTTGGAAATGATTGGCTGGAGTTTTTTGAGTTCTGCCCCTTCCATAGATGATTAAATTGCTTAATTTTCATTTCAGTGCTTCTCAGTCGCTGTAAGTGGGTTATAGGATTTCAAGTGATTTTGAAAAAACATTGTCAAAAAAGAAAATCACATACCCCACCATTAAATCACTCGAAGTAGAGCTCTCTCAAGCGATCCCCATTCGTCGGTCTAGACTTACTTGTAGTGACTGACGAAGGGCAAACACATATTTGCTAAACACTGGACTTACAGAAATTTTGCTAAATTTAACTTCTCATTTTTTATAACCATCAAAGTGACCATCACGGAACTGAGTTTTACAAAATCCCGAACTAAGCTCACAACAGCATAGGTTTGGCACATCAGGCACATAAGCAAACATGTGTGGTAATATGTGAAATCCCCAGCACTTGAGGCAGCTTGGTAGTAGTAATTCAGAGGAGCTTTTGGGAATGTTTTCACTTAAATGTCATCTCACTTCCAAAAGCATTCAGTCTTGTCATAGACAGGGTCAGTTGGAAAAGAGAATAAAAACAAAACATGCGTCCATGAAGGGACTGGTTTTCATGTTTATTATTAATGACGGAGACAAATGAGACTCTATGGATTGCAAATTGTGATTACATGCATATTGTTCCTCTTCTTTTTATTTGGAATAATTATGATATTATGTATATTTGCAAGTTTTCTGCTGATTTTACAGTCAGATCACTTCCCACAATTCACATACTACGTCTAATTATTCACTTTAATTAATTTAAATATCCATTATTTATTGTTTATTCACTGTATTCATTTACGCATGCATAAGAATAGCCTAAAAATAAATATGACCATTAACACTTATGTGACATATTCATACTAATAACTCACCATTGTATTAATTTTTCTGTTTCTTTTTATTATTTTTTTAACAATGGTATTGTAGAGGGCATAACACATTTACAGTTTTTAGTTCAATCAATATATATTTCACTTTCTTTGCTCCCCATTGGATGCATATAAAGAATCATACAGAAGTTAATTTTACCAAAAATATCCAAGACACGATTCCAGAATCATGGTCTATAAATAAATGAGAAAATAATGTAGACTTTCTACTGATTTTCCAGCTCAGTAGTTGAAAACACAGAAAAGGAAATGCTAATTTTCACAGCAGTTGATAACAATTGACAGTTTATGGCACATCCACATTGTAAGTGCTCAACAGTTGAGAATAGAGTTGGCCCTCATGATACGCATGACTTTCCTTGAGTTGTAACTGTATTCAAACTGAATATGCTCATGGTAGAAGTACAAATATCCTGTTAAAAAAGAGAAACAACAATTAAACAAGTCAATAATGCCTTGGAGAATCGGTTCAAATACATTAGCTGAAACAATAGGAAAGTTATGCAACTGATTTACACATACCAAAATGATAAGCAGCGGCATCCACTTCATCTCCAATTCCGGGAAAGTCCTCCTTAATGGATCGTGGGTATTCACTATCCATGGTGCCTGTCCGCTCATCATAACTGGAGAAGAGATGCAGCTTAGATTAGCTTTTTAGGGGTTTGGGGTGAGGGATTTGTCCTCAGAATATTGTAACATACCTCCAGTATTCCTCTTCTACAAAAAGTAGAGTCTTGCCAGTATCTCGGATGTTTACAGCTGCATCTATTTTGCGAACGGTCTTCGGGAGACCCAGTTTGTGAATGTATTTTGGATAGCCGTCAACAAGATTGTAACCATTGAGAGCCCACATTTTGATTCCTGTAATATTTTTTCATCAAAAAAAAAAAAAAAAAAACATAAAAAAAATAATATGAGTTAAATCTAACTCAAAAATGCATCTGCAAGTGTGGCAGTGTTATTGTTAATTTAAAAAAAGCTAAAACAATTAAAAATGGTTTCTGTTAATTGAAATAAAGCTAAAATAAAAAAAGTATAGATATTAGATGTAAAACCTTTAACAAAATGTTGCCTTGAAGTACTGAAATTACTAAAACTGAACAAAAAATTACTAAAAACAAACTAAAACTAAAATAAAAACTGATACAATACTGACTATAAAAATAAAAGCTATACTATTTTGATAAATAAGTATTGTAAAGAAAACGTTCATTTGAGCTTGACATTTGAATCATTTGAATCTCATAACTAACCACTGAATATGATGACAACATCTTTTTCTGGGTTCTCATAGGCAGCATCTACTTTGTTTGGTATTTCAGGCCAGGTACTTTTAATGAGGGTTTGTTCAGGCTCAGGCATTTGTAAATGTAGCCGCCAGTAAAACCTGCAACAAAAATATTTTCAGGATCGCTATTAGGTTATGTAACACATCATGCAAGAGTTTTAAAAATGTGCTAGTGCAGCCAGGGACAGTTTTATCGCAGCAATGAACTGTGGACTATTTTTGCACCTGTCTTTGAAAATGATTGTCTCTCCACGGAGTTCAGTGACGGCATCAAAACTCAGTTCAGGGTCACACTTGCTTGGAGCGTCGGGTTTGGGCTTGATCCTTCTATGGTTTGGGTTTTCACCTTTGATTAACCCAAAAGTCGGTAGAATCAGGACTATGAAGACTTCTAGAAAATCTATTTTCTATTTTCTAATCTATTGGTCGAAATGGTATATTACTCACCATAGAGAGACTGGATCCCCTTAATGTCATCCTCAGAGAGCGGGTAACCCTTGCGGTAGGAGTAAACCGGGTACATCAGTGACCCAGGGTCAGAGGAATGGGCCATGCCGAGAGCATGACCAAACTCATGGGCCGCAACCAAGAAGAGATTGAATGCTGCAAGGAACATAGTGAAGATTACTATGATAATAAATTAAGATGTTTTACTGTTAAAAAGTTTAGGGTCAGTACATTTAAAAAAACAAACAAACAAGCTATCAATTAATACTTTTATTCAGCAAGGATGGATGCCCAAACTTTTGAAAAGTGGTGCAGCTACTGCACAAATGGTATTTTTTTGTACCATTAAAGTCTTTGGTCCACGTTTCGTCCTCATCAAAGTGTGTATCACCACCAATGCCATTTCCAGGGGGGTAAGCATGAGCAAGAAGCCCCTCTGGTCCATCAAACGGGTTGAAGTCTCCATGTTCTGTCATTTGCATTCAGAAAAAGAATGGAAATTGATAGTAACAAAAAGCCCAGGAAGATATCGTTCATTTAATTCCCACTTGAATGAATAATAAAAACAGTGGTACCTCTTGCTCCGAAGCTGATCATGATGTCAGCATTTCCCTCATACAGTTTCTTAAACTTCAGCGGAGTCACACTGCTCCAGACATTTAAACCATTTCGGACGGCTCTGTCCACATCCGCCTTGCTCAGGTCAGGAGTGTAATTCAGAATCCTGAAAGTGAATAAAACACATATTTTGAAAATAAACTGCCTCTTTTTTTAAAAATCGTATTCAATTATTTAATATGCAAACACAAACCTGAAGGTCACCTCTGTGGTTTTCCACTTGAGGTCATTTGGAAAGTGATTATATTCGGCCACATCAGGAACTCCGCAGCGAGCCATTTCCATTAGCTCCAAAGTGTCGTCGTCCAGCTTTCCCGTAACGTTCAACTTAAAAAACTCTTGCATCTCTTGAATTTTCTTCTTATACATCACATCGGATGTTTTTTCTTTTCCTTGTAGACCAGCTGGCATGCCATAGTACCTTCGAAGATATTTCTAAAAAAAAAAAGAAATACAATTTAAATACGAAATTTAAATTTGAATACAATTTAAAGAACAGAAAATGAAGAAGCAAAGATTTATCCCACAAAAAAAATGCTCTCCCTACCTCAGCGAATAACACCTCGTCTTTCTCCTCACTTGAAATTGGTTTTGCTAAAGCGTGTGCAGCAATCACCAGCAATACCACAGCTGTGAGCTCCATGTTGACCGGATGATGTTCTGCTCGGTCTGACAGGGTTCTTTATAGTGCTCTCTCCTATCAAAAATTGTTTGTGATTCATGTAAAAAGTACCTTGGCCAATCCTCCACTTCCTCTAGCCGCACAGCCAGCAGAATGTGGTTAAAAACTGCTTTTAGGACACCTGAGCGAGCAATGATATCACTGCTCCCTCCGGTGCTGCTTTTAGCTTCGAGTGATTTGTTGACTCATTTTGGTAAAGGACATGAGTAATGAAAGGTTATAAAAGTCATGTTAGTGCTTCTTGTTTTGATATTTTTTGTGATTTTAGGGTTTTAGAAGCCACATTAGTACATACCTCTCAGACTTACTTGAAAAAAAAGGAGAAATCTATTTAAAGGCCTAAATGATGGCAAATAATTATGCCAAGTTCATTTCAAGAGTACTATTAATATTCCCAGACTGCTGGAAAGGTTTGTGAATCACTCAGTTTTGACTAAGACTTAGCATATGACCTCAAAACCTGTACAGATGATAAGACAGAGTAAATTTAGCAGCTAATATAAAGACACCAAGGATAGTCAACATCTTTCACTACACAATTCCCAATAAATTAAATTAATCAAAAGCGACATTAAAGATAAAATTCCAAAATACTTCTTTTTCAAAATAAATACGGATATTATATCCATGAAAGAGCAAAATATATCAGTTTACCAAGTAAGTACACAGTAAAAAAATATACAGTATATATTCAAAGTTGCTGCCTTACATTTGTAAGTACAATAAATAAACTTGGATGTTTTAAGTCATTTCAACTTGAATTACATTAAACTGATTTTTAAAACATGATTGAATCTTGTATAACTTGTAAAAAAAAAGAAAGTTGAAAAACTTATTTTGATGAGTTAAAGCAATGTAAAAACATCATGACTTATTGATCAGTTTTTACAGTGTAGTAATCAGCATAACATTGACAATACTATTGTTTCTTGAGCATCAAATCAGCATTTTAGAATGATTTCTGAAGGATCATGTGACACTGAAGACTGGATTAATGATGCTGAAAAAACAGCTTTGCCATCAATAAATGACATTTCAAAATATATTCAAATAGAAAACAGCTGTTTATAATACTTCACTGTTTTTATTGTATATTATCAAATAAATGTTGACTTGGTGAGCAATAGACTTTTTTGTAAAATATTTAAAAATCATACTGACCCCAAACAAAATACTCTGCATGTTGTGCACAGCTGTTATGTTTTTTTTTCCAGCTTTGCAGCATCATCATGAAAAACACTCAAAATGTTGGCTGAACCCGCAAAGAAAGGACACTGAATGACTGTATAATAATAGATTGACTACTTTTTCCATATTTCCATTTGTTTGTCTCTAATTTTCTTTAAAGAAAAAAAGTAGTTTTAAGATTTTATTATTATTAAGTCCAAAGTTTCAAAGAGCAAACTATTTCCAGGGCTGCAAGTGTAGGCATGTCCTGTTAATGGCAGCTGTCTCCCATATAACGCAGTATAATGGAGTGACAGAATTCTTGAAATGTGACTTAGCAACTCCACACCTCTGTAAACACATTTTTAAGCAGACAAGTGTTTCTAATAACACTGATTTTACTCGAGGTTTGTTAAGAAAATCGCTGCTCAAAAGCTCTACTTGAGACATAATGATGCGCAGAAAACAGTTACTTACGGTTACAATATACTTACGTATTTTTCGCAATGATTAGGCCGGTATGTAAAAATGAGCACTGTGCGGGCATTTTATCATCTGATGTTTTGTCTGCCAGTTACGCGAGAGAACAATCTTGGGCAACAGTGGAAAGACATTTGTCCAGATATATTGTTTGTGATTTTCTTCAAATTGAGCAATTAAATTTGGAGATTTGTTGGATGCACATCCAGGGCATAAAGCTCCCGTTCCACCACATCCCAAATATCCATATTGGGTTGAGATCTGGTGACTGTGGGGGCCATTTTAGTACAGTGAACTCATTGTCATGTTCAAGAAACCCATTTGAAATGATTCGAGTTTTGGGACATGGTGCATTATCCTGCTGGATGTAGCCATCAGAGGATGGGTACATGGTGGCCATAAAGGATGGACATGGTCAGAAACAATGCTCAGGTAGGCCGTGGCATTTAAACGATGCCCAATTGGCACTAAGGGGCCTAAAGTGTGCCAAGAAAACATCCCCACACCATTATACCACCACCACCAGCCTGCAAAGTGGTAACAAGGCATAATGGATCCATGTTCTCATTCTGTTTGCGCCAAATTCTGACTCAATGTCTCAACAGAAATCGAGATTCATCAGACCAGGCAACATTTTTCCAGTGGTGAGCTCTTGCAAATTGTAGCCTCTTTTTCCTATTTGTAGTGGAGATGAGTGGTACCCGGTGGGGTCTTCTGCTGTTGTAGCCCATCCGCCTCAAGGTTGTGTGTGTTGTGGCTTCACAAATGCTTTGCTTCATACCTCGGTTGTAACGAGTGGTTATTTCAGTCAAAGTTGCTCTTCTATCAGCTTGAATCAGTCGGCCCATTCTCCTCTGACCTCTAGCATCAACAAGGCATTTTCGCCGACAGGATTTGGCCATTACATACTTATTTCTAAATTAAAGAAATAAAAATTGTGTGTGTTTTGGTGTAGCCAACTGGTTGATTTAGTCCTAAATCATATTTCTGACTTGATTACAAATCACAAAATAATATATTGATTTTAAGGTTATTTCAGTGCCATAATCGAATCAAAAGCTCTCTCTGTTTTGGAAAGAAGCAAGCAGAGACATGTTAGTACAATAAAAACACTGATAAGGAAACGAAATGTGAGAAAAACACGAAATGTTCATAACCTGGGGTCAAAACCAGGCTTTTCAACATTTCAACAAGGGAGATGCAATGAACTACACTTTTCTCAGATAGTGTCGATGATGGGCACAAATCAAATCCAGGAGCTGAGATCAGATCCTTTAGTCAGTGGAAATACCCTCATGTTGAAAAATGTTTAAATTAACCTGCCCTCTTATTTTTAAAGAATGCATCAAGGTGCTCTCTATTCTTAAAATCCGTGGTAAATGACATGATGTTTATGAATAAATACACTATTCAAAATTATCCATGAAAATGATGACATCCTTTTAAACTGCTGAAAAGGGAACAGGAGCAAAAATACAAATTGAAATATGCTGAATGAGTGTGAATCATGTCAGAATGAGGCCATGGGGAAATTCCCAGGTTCATCATGTGGATCATATCCCACATCTGCCGTGAAGATACAGTCTATGAAGAAGACGGTGTCAGGACTCAAGAGAGCAGCTGCCAGTACTGAATAACTAATAATTAGAGTGCCATTTACTGGATTAAACTGTTTGCTTTACATTTACATTCATTCATTTACTAGACGCTTCTATCCAAAGCGACTTACAGTTGAGGAATACGACGAGCAATTCATCACAAAAAAGCAATAAACACAAGAAGTGGCAATAATACAAAGTTTCAGTCATTGTTCAAATAAGATGGAACAGGAAGGGATTAAAGAGTAATGAGGGTCGCTGTGACTTTGCCAAGCAAGACATGTTCCTGAATCAACATATTTTGTCTACATTCCATAATAAAAATATAGTCCTAACCCAATCATTACTTCTGAACCAACTTTTCCTTAACATCAGATGGAAATGACATGTGAATAACTCTAATGTAGAGCTCCTAACCCTGGTTGTAAACCTAAACCTAACATAAACTGTAAACTTGTCCCTTAAATCTGATTGGTTTATTGGAATGTTGTTCCAAGATCAACAAAGGTGTATGAAACTGTGTTTACCCTATCCGAATGGGGTTGGATGTTCCACCAGCTAGGAACAGTAAATAAAAAACGTCATTGAGAGTGATATTTTGCCTATTTGGGTTGGAAGCGTGAGTCACCCCTCACTTACCGACCGCAGGCTTCTGGAGGGATGTACATGAGAGAGTGGAGGTATGGTGCAGAGCCCATGGCTATTCTGGGCAAGCACCGATGTCTTGAATTTGTTGCAAGCCGCAACGTGAAGCCAGTACAAGAGATAAACGAAGGAGTGACATTGAGACAAGACGTGCCACTGCGTTTTAAATAATTAGCAGTGGTTTGATTGCACATGTTGGAAGTCCAGCCAGAAGAGCATTGCAATAGTCCAGCTTAGAAATGACAAGGGCCTGGAAGTGTTGCATGCAAAGCAAACCTGCATTATCATGCTGTTTTTGTAATGTGATCCTAAAAGGGCAGCTGATCATCAAAGATTACCCAAAAGACTCCTGGCTGAACTCCTGGATTATCGTTGAAGAACTTAGTTGGATGTCCGTGCTGTACTGACTGAATGTCTGGGAATGGGAGGAGAAGTTCTGTCTAGGTTAAGTTGGGGATGTTCTTTCACCCAAGATGTTCAAACAAATTTAACATTTCCATTGACCCCCTAATTATGTCAATTTCACACTCCCTTGCACCCCCGGGGGTCCCCATAGAAGGACCAGAAGGACCCACGTTAAAGTTTATAATTTAATTACTTAAAAATTTGGTTTAAAATATTTAGATATTATTAAAATATTATTATATATTTATATATTTAATTGATTTATTTATAATATTTAAAATATATAATATAAAACTATTATTTGATCACGAAACACAAGTTGTGTTATTTTCTGTTCATGCTAAATAAAATTGACATAATTTAAAAGATAACCGATTAAATGCACAGTACAAAATATTTAAATTTGATGAATGAAAGGAACAGGCCTATTTTATTACCCATTTAATACCTCACGTGTGTGGTGCCTCTTCGGGACTTTTATTTTAACTTTCCAGCAGCCATAGACGGCTGAGTTATGTTGTGTGCAGTTTCACACACCCTCTCTCATGTAAATACAGTTCACAGTTCGTGATGTTACAGGATATTTTTGTCTCGACTAATTGTTGAACACCACAGAGGCTTTGAGACTGCGGAAGCGAAGACAAACGAAGTTTGTACGAGGTAGTTTGAATACTGTTTTAAACGTATTCACGTTTGATCTTGTCATTATGTTGTATTATTTTAGATATTTCAGTATGTAAAGTGATATAAGAAGTGAATCTACTTTTATTTCAGATTATTGCATGCAACATTTGACATTGTATATAATCCTGACGTCATACTCTTGACTTGACAATATTATAACGGAAATATTATCTTACGATGCATTTTGATGCAGAACAGGTTAATGAGATGTGTTCTGACAGGTTGGCGAAGATGGAGGAAGATTTGTCACGTGCTTTGAATTCTGTCACCCTAGAGCCTAAAGACAGTAAAATGGACACTTTTGGGTAATTATTCTTATTTTTCATTTGGCACATTCTCTCTTATCAAAAGTTATTGATAATGCATTTTCCCATTAAGTGGCTTGTTCAAGGACACACAGTGATCAAGAATTACCTCATCTAGAGTTAATATCTATTTCCATCAAAATCTTTTGGCACTAAGCCACAAACTTATACTTTTATCATATATTCTCATTATGTGAATGCACAGCAATGATCTATTTAGAGTTTCTTCTCATGGAGCAGCTCAAACATGCATAATGTATTTTAGATGTTGAAATTTTGTCACAAGATTGTCGATTAAAGACCTCAATCGCTTTTTATGTTTCAACATCCAGAATTCTTAGTCAAGGTGAACAGTGTAGCCTCTTGTTTACTGAAATGGTGAAAGAATA